AGTGATGTCATCAAAACCGCACCGCCCTCCAGAATCGTGGTCACTGTCTTTAGTTGCCTATTTCAATGCCCATTTGTGAGAACGACAACACTGACATCAGCGTTGAGGTGACCATGCAGACGCATGTGTTGATCAGGTGAAATGTCAAATGCCTACCTGGAGCCGTATCCCATCCTTCTCCAGGCTAGAGAAATAAAAAATTCATTTAAAATTATTTTTGTTTACGACATGTGTTCTTTACTTTCAGCACATATTTACTTTTATACACACAAAGACTGAGAATAGGCCCTTTCTTAGAGCAATGCCAGTTAAGATGACAAAGAAAATTTGGAGAGATTTCCGCTTCTCTCCCTTGGGAAAGGACACAATACGACCTGTGGAGAACGAATGCCGAACATTTTATTCCAATGGAGATTTTTATGGCTACGAAGAATTTAACCTTGAGTAGAGACTACTGGCTGGTCTCCATCCAATAGTTTTACAGCTAGCAGTGTGCCCCCCTGTCACAACACCCGAACAGCCGGTTGACAACATAATCGATGTTTCAATTCAATATCACCTGACATCGGTATTGATGAGAGGCTGCACCGATCACTAGCTCGAACTCGGTGCCATTTTGTATGACGATCTTTCTACTGTTGTAACAATCTTTTATATTAGCACTTGAGGAAGCTGACCAGTTCCTTTGCTCATTTTCCCTTGCAGGTTTTTTTTTCTATCAGCTGTTTGTTCTAGTTTTTTTATTGTCAGTAATGAGTTCTCCGGGATACAGGGTCAACCGTTACGTTGGACCGATATTGGAGCGACGTTGGACCGATGTTGACCGCTCTCCGCGCCGGCATTCACTCTCGCCACCCGCGAGCCGTCTGTGTCTCCGTGCGTACGTTCACTCTCGGCATTACTCTCGTCGTCGCGTTGGACTTTGTCCAACGGACGGTTGACCCTGCCGGGATACCCTGTTGTATGGCTTTCGTGCAAAAATGCAACTCAACCCAGCCAAAAACCGCGAAATTTAGCACGCGATGCATAAGGCTGGTGCTTCGGCTGCTAGCTGGATATAATCTGAATCATCGACTGATTGCATTATAACTCAAAACACCCATGTTCTTCACTATCCTTTTTCTTTTTTGTGTCAGGTTCTTATCAAGTCTGGAATCAAAAGCGATGTGCCTCGCTAGCAGCCGCTGATATGGCAAGCATAAAACCGAAACTTTCGCGTGGTGGCAAGCGGCGCTTCCAACAGGGTCAAGCGTGCGTTGAGGAATCCTCGACAGGTTGACAGGGGGGGGGGTCGTATTGCCCGCTGGGAGGAAAATATCGGGCCGGATCGATGCAGTAGGATCATCACTGTCGGTCGTTTCATGGACTTCGGCCTCTGAGAGGGAGGCGGGTGGTGGGGGGGGGGGTCGTACTTCACAATTTTCCTCGACGTCTCGCTCGACCCTAGCTTCCAAGCACGCATGCGGTTCAAGTCCAATCCTGAATTGAATACCATCCACTCCTTCCACCCTTCCGTAGATTCCTTAGGTACCAGGGTTGTCGGTGAGAACAAGAAAGTGAAAATGGCATTAGCTGGTCCCTTCAAGTCATCTTAGGGCTCAGTAACCATCTGTTTAGGCCTTGCGCCTTTATGTACCATCTTTGACTTTTAATGAAAGTCGGCATTAAACTAAGGGAGTATTACCGTCAACACTTTTTTCTATTATTGCAAAAGTCAATAATTTACTTTTACCACAAATTTCTGTTATTGGAGTAGCAAGCAAGGAGGGCCGACTTAATGATCTTTGGATAGGGCCGCATTCGTGCCTTTCAGATAAGCAGTAAATTTCCGAAGAGAGAGGTAGGATTTCGTGAATAGAATTTTGGTATGATCAAACAAAATTGTTGAAAAAATTGTTTTAAAATAACTTCTGAGAATTTTGGAATTGGTATTGCTGTTCCTATTGCAACGTGCGTCCTCTGGCACAGAATTTTGTGAGTATTTCAGGTGGAGTTTCATGAGAATACAAAAAGAATGAAATTATGACCTGGGGAAGGAAGTGAGCCGTGGAACAGAAGTGCGACGTCGTGCTCCGTTCGACGAGGATGGGTGAGAGGAAGGAGTGTAATATGCCTTTCCCTCGTAACGTGGCTTACCCTAATGGCATGGGGCTTGCCCTATGCACGCGGCGGCCAGGTGCGTCTGCACTGCAGACTTCACAGCACAAGTGACGTCGCCACTAAAAAAGGGATGTAATCTATAGTGACAGCTGATAATTGATAAATGATAGTTGTAATTAGTGACAATCGATAGAATACAACTGCAATCGACTAATCATTTCTTTGGCAGAAAACCAATACATTTTGTGGAGGTTGTCGTCACATGTGCTGTAAAGTCTGCACTTTGTCACCGGATACAAAAAGGTACGTGTTCAGCATCCGCGCGCCTAGTTCTGCTGGTTGCTAAATGAACCGGTTTTAGGGCTCTTACATGTAAATGAGATCATAATAAGGGATCCTATGAGAAAGATAAAATGTATAACAAATAGAAACTTCACAAGGATATTTCTGCTCGATCACAGCAACTTTGGACGACCTTCTTAGCGGATCTCGCTGCTTTCATCTCATTTCATTTCTCTCCGTTTCTACGGGGTTCTTCCCTGGGTAAACAAACTCGCCGCCCATCTAGCCAGAACCGTCAACATTGTCACGAACCGCGAGCGGGGTGATGACCAGCCATGGTCACGAGCCGGCTGGTCGCTGTTCCGAATAACCAGACACAGTTTAAGCCGTCCAAATTGGGATGGACTGTTCAAGCCGTCTGCAGCCTGGACACCACCTTTCATTCCTTCGATGAATTACGTATTTCGAACTCGCAGTTTGACCATGGGACGTCGTCGTGAGGTAGCCCGACCCATTTGAACTCAACGGCTACACATCAGCTCGCGAGCCGTCGCGTCGCGGCTAGTGCTGATGTCGTGTTGTCGAATCGCCGTTCTCTCAGAACGTCCTTCCAGCCCCTCGTTCTATTCCACTTCCAGTTGTGTCCGTCTAAAGTTCAATTTCTGCTCTGTACTTGGTCTGTAGCTTGTAAATTTCAATAATTTTGAAACTAGGCTAAATTGGACGTCGTGAAAGGTTTTGTGAAGAAATGGCATTATCACACCTTTGTATTTTGTATTTGTATTGCGTAATGGTTTTTATTGGTGACCGAGACCTTCACACCAGTTCTCTCAGCCAATTCTCGTCGACAACGTGTTGCATCCTCTGAACTTTTATCGATATTCCGACTAGAAAATCAACCGGGAGCGTGCGCTTCGCCTTGCAATTCGTATCGTTTCCGTACATAATCTTCTGAGAGATCTAGTCTTGCTCAGCAATTGCTTCTGTACCTCAAAAAATGCCAATCAATATCTATTGATTTGGTTGTTTTGCGTAGTACTGAATGTCATGTTATTTTCAGGTGATGAATCAATTCCGCACAGGCGGAGGGCCGCAGCGGGAAATGTTTGCGGCGGCCGAAGACATTGCGGACGATGTGAGTAAGCGTTCTTTTTTACATTCCTAAGGAGGACATGTTGCACGACAGTTCGCGCTTACTGTAATTTCAATTTTGCAGGGGAGAAAATACCCGAAGTTGTGAACTATATCGCTTCCGCTTCCATCTTCTTCCACCCATCCCCCAGGATCCTCCTCTGCAAAAGTTGGAATTACTGTTTATGGCAGAAGCTGTCGTAATACATGCCCCTCTATTGAAATAGACCCCGTGTTTTTTTCAGTTATTTCTTTTGAATCTGTTCGAAACGCTCATTTGTTTCTATTAACAAAGTGTGAATGAGGCGCTGGCTAGAGGCGTTTCTTTTCACGCTTATTTTGCGGAACGCACCTCATTTGAGACAAAGAAGTTCCAGAAAGAAGTTAATTTGGAAGCCTGTGTGAGTTGTGAGCCTCCTTGGGAAGTCATATTAGCCTTTGAGTCATCGTAGAGTTCTTGCAGAGGGAGCAGTATTGTTTGGTGCATAGTTCGTGTGAACTGCTCTAATCTCAATTTCGTCCAAGGCATCCTTTAAAGTTTAGAACTGCCAGCGGCTTCATTCTTGCGCCACTTCTTTGAGTTTTTGTCTGGTCTATGATTTTTCATGTTGGTTGCCCTGGAACATGGCTCTTCCGGTGTGAACAGCGATCCCACCATAGCTGAAGTGGACGCGCAGCACGACGGTAAGGGCTCCTAAGAATAGCTTTAGGCGTTGGAATTTCAGGGAAATAGTCAGTCACACCAAGGCGAGTCAACCGTCCGTAGTGCCGAGTTTGAAAATTTTCATGGTCCTCTCTGAATGGGGCTTCGAAACGACTTGTCTTTTCCACCACCACCAGCTCTTCCGAAAATCTTAACGACTCCCTGGCTACTATTCTGAAACCTCCGTCGTGTCTTCCGTTCCCTTTTGGTCATAATCGCCCTCCTGCCTGTGTTTCCGACCGTTTTGTTCTGCTGAAGCACTATATGCGCCTAATTTTCATTGCATCCACATATGCGAACCTTTGCGAGTGGAGATAAATGGAGAGGGTGTAGCCATGTAGTACAAACAGGGTAACCAGCAAATTGCGCACTGATGCCACTAATTTTGTTACTCTGTTATTTTGCTTGTTTTGATTCGATTGTTATTTCTGCTAAGTCACGAAAAGAGGTACACGCTTAAGAGTGACTCTCCTTGAAGTCTGAAAACCAGCAACGCCTGTTCTGTTTCTTGATTAATTGTCTATGCCTTCATCAATCTTAAGCTTTGTAAAATTAGTTCTCATGGTCCTCACTCCAGTATTCTCCCTGCTTGCTGAAGCTTTACTGCAGCCACATCGTGTAACATATCGTGAGCTTCTTACTTCTGTATAGTTCGGCTTTTCTAACATTTTTCTGCAATTAGCATTTTGTTGCCAAGAAACGGAGGATTTTACTGCTCCATGTTTACAAATGACATTGCCTATTGCATCATAGTACAAGCTATCCCGATGTAAATGGCATCTTTTTCTTTTTATTAGTATTAATCACAGCCAGACTTTTGTGATACAGTGTGAAAGGGTGATTGTGACGGCTCAAGCCTGGTGCAATCGTGTTGAGCTCATGCAGTTAGCTCAGTTGAGGGCTAAATGATATATTAGACGTAATAGCACATTCTCACACGTATCGATTGTAGGTGTTGCGCCGTACCAGGCATATCCTTCCGCATGTGGCGCGACTCTGCCTCGTGTCGACGTTCCTCGAAGATGGTATCAGGATGTGGTTTCAGTGGGACGATCAAAGGCAGTTTATGCAGGTTTCATTTGTTTACTTACTGCTCGTATGAGTGTGTACTAGTCGGGTCTGACTTACTGATATCCCCACTAAAACAGAAATCAGGACAGGTATAATAAATGCGGCAAATACTGGACGATTCATGGCTTTAGGGATGGGGAGGGATGGCGTGTTGAATTTTCATTTTTCTCGGAATTCCTGCCCTGTTCCAGGCTAGTCCTACGGTGCCCCCTTATGTTGCGATAGTAACTTAACAACGTCAGGCGAAGTCCGTTTCAACTATTGAATTCCATTGAATGCATTCGTACAGTTTTCCTGCTGTTTTACAAAATACAGGGCTATAAGCAGTTATTGAAGGTGTTATATCAGCTCAAAATGTGAGGCAAATTTCCACTTGCAAGTGATTCTCCGTGCTTTCAAGCGTACATTCAACAGTTAGGGGTATCACCATTTTCTCGACAGGGACTTCCTCAATCTATCATTCAGGCTTGCCTTTTGGTAAATCTGTGGTGTTCTAGCCACTCCTTCGAAGTTACATATAGGAGACCGGGAGAGAATATAATACAATAGGATGGGAGACCGTCGGAGATACATGACACTCTTACTTTGAGGCAGTATCCCTATCTCTTTCACTTCGTAAATTGTTCCCTCCCTGTTCACACAGCAAGGTCTACTATCCGTGCTTTCGTAGCTTTGTGTAATTATTAGCTCCTCGTTGGCTATTAGGTAATTCATACATAGTGACCGTTGCAACAGGCTAGATCTCGATTAGGAAGCATGTTCCTTTCTGTATCTACTCTTCCTTATCAACTCACTTGTGACAGTCCTATAAGCGAGTATGAGCATACGCAAAATGATTAAAAATGACAATATACTTCCTTGCTTCTGGTGATCGGTGATTTCTATTTTCAGGAGTCCTGGTCGTGCGGATGGTTCCTAGCGACTTTGTTCGTCATCTACAACTTTTTTGGCCAGTTCTTGCCTGTCATCATGATCATGCTGCGGAAAAAAGTATGTCCTGACTAGCACTCCTTCCACGGATCGAATTTCATCTTTTGAAACAAATGTAATATAATTTCTAGGTAACGATTGCCTGTGCGATACTTGGATCGATTGTCCTGCTCCAAACTGTTGCTTACCACATTCTATGGGATCTTAAATTTTTAGCAAGGTGTGTGAACTTGAACATTTATCGTTTTTACTATATTTTGAGTCATTAATCAGTTTGTCGAAATACCATCTTGGAGGCAAAAAACGGTTCTAGAACTAGTCGTCTTGTAACGCTATAAATTGGATAACTTCCAGTGGTTCGGTCTTGTGGTCGTTGTAAAGGCCTGGACACTGCTCGAGGTTGTATAAAGGCCCACTTTCCCATCGAGGGCTTCCTCTCCATTCTGACGTCTTTTCTAAACAGTTGTAAACACCAGGAACTCTAACGCTCACCTCACATTTCACCGTAATAGTATGGAGTGGTAAATCCATCCAGTTATGTTCCGAGTGGATAGGTTTGGCGTGATGGTGGAATGTTCTTAAACCTTCAGCAATTTTTGCGCCCTTAACTATGGCGAAGAGGTCGTAAAATTAGCAGCATTGATCGTTTCACCTAAAAACGGCGAAATATAGGCGTAAGAAACTAATTTAAAAGTGCTTTAAAGGAATTGTGTTTGTGTAGTGAGGAACGAGCGTGCATACTATTTCTGTGTATTTGTGTAGCTGTCTTCAAATGCGTCAAAAATTTCCCTCGGTGATCAGCTGTGTCAACAGTTGCGAAGAGCGCCTGCAGTAAGGAGATTCAGCCTTTCTTCAAAAATTCTCGCTTTCATGAGCAGTTTTACGATGTTTTGGGACGTTATAATCACAAGAATTACGTTTCTAGCTGTTTTTGTGTGTGAGTGTTGATGTTTTGAAGTCAGAGCATCACAACGCCTCTGATACTTGCTATATTCTTCATCTTTATAGTAGTTAGGACCACCACTCCATTTTTTGCATGTTCTGCATGTTATTTGTGATTTCAGAAATGTAGCCGTCGGTGGCGGACTTGTGTTGCTTTTGGCCGAAACCCAAGAAGAGAAGGCTTCACTGTTCGCTGGAGTGCCAACCATGGGAGATACTAACAAACCAAAATCCTACATGCTACTAGCCGGACGAGTTTTACTTATATTTATGTTTACCTCGCTGCTTCATTTTGAAATGAGTTTCCTACAAGTGAGTCTTTTGAATTTTTTCTCCACATTTTTAGGATAAGTAGCATCGCTGTTGTCCGTACAATAAAGGCAGCCCTTTCCTTTTTAGTGAAGCCTCTTCATTCAGGTGATTGAAATCGTTGTCGGATTCGCACTTATTATGCTTGTATGCGTTGGCTACAAGACGAAGCTGTCTGCTATGCTTCTAGTTGTTTGGTTGTTTGGCCTGAATCTGTGGCTTAACGCATGGTGAGTTTTGCTTTTTTGGTCCATTTATATTCTTCAGTTCTTATTTTTTTTACTTTTCTTATTTAGGTGGAATGTACCTGCTGATCGATTCTATCGTGATTTCATGAAGTACGATTTCTTCCAGACAATGTCGGTTATCGGAGGTACGTGCGTTCAAAAGAATCTGGTTTCTATTAAAAATTCCATGACAACGTTGACAGCTCAATCAATATCATTATTTCGATGTTATTTGAATGTACTCGCTTGTCTCGATTTAGTGGTTTGAAACCGCTATATCGACACAGAGCGAGTGCATTCACAATGAATGAAAATGATGGTGGTGAACAAAAGAGCTTACCTGACCTCATGTGTCCGGTACATCTCAGAAGTGGTGCCGATTCGTGACAATATTTGCAGCCCTTTTTCGTTATGTTCAGTGGTACAGGGAAAAGTATAGCGAGTTTATAACGCTGTCGCAATGATTGGAGCTATTTTTTTTACTTCAGGCCTGCTACTAGTCATCGCCTATGGCCCAGGTGGTGTTTCTGTTGACGACTACAAGAAGAGATGGTAAAGCAACAGTCAAATGGAGTTGAGCGTATTTATTTCATTACGCATGAAAGAGACAAGCAGGCAAATCGGTTTCATCCTCTATCTTTCGTAACCATCTCTTCCCGTGGTTGTCCTAGTGAATATATGAGTGCTTGCTATGGTTTTATAATTTATTTGATTAATGTTTTTTGTTGCATTTGGGTCAATTAAACGCTCGGTTTAGCGCCGAGTATTTTTGTTAAAGAAAAGGAAAATAAATATTTATGTTAGGAAGCTGACATGGCTTTCAGTTGTCAAGTCTGTGCTTCGTACCAGATAATGTAGTCATAGTTTTATTAGGGAGAGGTGTGTTGTGCCCTTCTTTCGCTTTCAGGTGTGCTGTTTTTCATTGCTGTTACGAAAATATAACTTGTTATCACCGTTGTCTTCTATTCTCCATTTGAGCGTATGTCAAACAGGAACTGTAAGTTGCGTTCTGTAGTAGGTATTTGAAGAAAAATGACAGAGTCATTCAGTTTTCGGTTTCTATAAGCATTTCTCAACATTTTCTGAGGTACGTAGTTGTTAATCAATAATATGTGAAGTTGGGCAGGCTTGCACCTGCAATAAGAGAGCGACAACCCTGCTTACTTTTTTCTCACTTTTTGTTCGATCTGGCACTATTGGTCGCTATGCTTGGGTCGTTACTACATTCTCAAAAAAAAGCGTTCTTCAAGAAGCGAACAGTTTCCATTCGCCCCTCCAAAGCACAGTACTACTTGTGCAGCTACTTTAAACCTTATGCGACGAGCTCTTTTAGCACCGTTTTGCTCAAAGCGATAGCTCTGTCTTAATCGAACTTGTGGGTGATTTCCGTCTGTGTTAGTTGTGTAGCTGGAGACAGGAGGATGACTTATTTATTACTCAACTTCCTTCTTTTATAGCACAATCTATCACTATCATTTCGTCACAGTCATCTTCATCCAGCCGGCCCATTTGCACGTCCGCTCCATTTCCACAGTTCTCTGCCCTGAAACCGGTCCTCCCCTACTACCCTCAACAGTGTTATGTAATTCAATTTACTTAGAGGAAGTCCTTTTTGGGTGGTGGTAGGGATTCCATCTACAGATAGGATGTCAATAATACCTCTTGCCCCCCATTATTCTTATGCTTCACTTTATTCGAACTGGGAACACAGTGATTTGGCCAAGCCGATATTCATTCCCTTCTTATTCGATGAGAAATGCGAAAGCGCTTTCGTTTTCCTCAACATAGGACAGAAAGAAAATCAGAGAGGAGAAAGCACAGGAAGACGGAAACGAGAGAAGGCGCGGATGGATTCCAATATTGATGAGTTAATTTCCGCTTACGACACATTCTCCAGCGAGCGCTGGAAACCACTCCATGACATTTGATAAGGCGTCTTTAATAGATCTACTGACCTTACGTGGCGGCGAAGCAAAGTTCAGGCTTTACTGTGGTCCAGTTGCTGAGTGCACCCATTCCGTCGCCATCACCTGCGTGTCGCAGACAAAATCCCATGCTAGTGTCATTACCGAACAACGTTTTTTTAAATCTCTTGCCACTCCCCGTCTGCTCCGGCCCTGTTTGGTCCCCTACGAAATGCCCACACCCTGGTTCAACGATCTTCTTCTATCCCATGTTCGCCCAAGTCCTTTATTAATCTTTGGTCTAGCTCGTCGACTGTGGGCCATAGCATGGATTGCAAGTTGTTGCATAGGTGATATTAATACCCACTCATATAAGTTAAAAAGCTGGTATTTTGTAAGGAAGGGTCTCCGTAGGTAATGAGTGAGAAACTGAACTGGTATGTCTGGTTACTGTTAAAGTGTTTGGCCTAATCTTGTACAGTGGAAGATTTGCATTTGTCAATAAATGCAGCATTCCACGGAGACGCCTCTCATCACAAATGTTTGTCATAAATTCAAGGAACAAATGTAACATAGGAATCAGTTGTAATTATTGGCGGAAGGGGAGGGGACAGTAAGTCACGCTCGGCGTCATCGCCAGTATGGCTTGAAAACAACATTTGAAGAAATGCAGTAGAGAAAATTGAAAACAAAAAACCTGAAGTGTGGCATGTTTAGCTCAGCATCCACAAGTCATAAATTCTCAGCAACATTGTCGTTTTCGCACAGCAACGACACTAGCTTGATACATTGAGTCACGCATCTGCTGGGGCATAAAAAAGGTGATATCTTTGTGTTATTGTGATTAGCCAAACTACCAGCTACCAATCGATGAGTGCTCATCACCACATCTTTCGGAAGTGACTACTTTCGTTAGGGATGAGGTTATTCAGTTGGAAAGTCAAAGTTGAAAAAAATATGATAAGGGCTAAATTTTTGAATGCAGGTCAACTAGTCCATCCGGTCATGTTAGCATCTAATGGTAAGTTCTGTTTTGTGATCAAAACGTTACCCACTCGTCGAAACAAACCTCGTTTTTGCAACAACCATCAAACTAGCAACTTGAAAGGTAATCATTTATTCAATATCTTGGTGCATCCCGAAGACACCTTTAACACAAGACACAATAATCACCTCAACATATAAAATCTATTGGTAAAACTCAAATAGAATCTGTTAAAACCATCCGTATATCGAACACCACCTACATCGTTACCTATGCGTACATTATAATTTACCAGTTAAAAAAATATGTAGTTCATCCATAATCAAGTTGCTGTTACCAGCTTGAAGCAAAATGTAATGAAAAGGCAGTACCTAGTAACAAATGTAATACGGTCATCACAGACTTGAGAGGAAGTCGAGTTTTACAGCACAAGCATGCGATACCGGCTCACTTTCGTAAAAAGTCGGGGTTCCGCTCTTGAAGTTTTCCTGGAAAGTGATCATTACAGCAAAATACTGCTTAATAGATAAAATGAGGTGCAATAGGTGAGGTGATGGTAGCGGGCGATAGCAGTACGGCTATGAGAAAGGAGAGGCTTCCAATAACCAAAACTACAAAAGCGGAGCTGCAGATAAAACGG